CCCTAAGTCCTTTGCGCCTGCACTTACTTGACGGAATTCCCCCTTTAATCACCTAAACAATACCATGTTCAAGTGAACATTTTTTAGAAGAGCTTCTTTAAAATGTGAACTTAAAATGGGTCTTCTGGTTGACTAATTAAAATGTAATTACATAGGGAAAAAAAACTAATGGTTTATATCAAAGGGTTGAACTGCTCATTAGATTGTGAGTAATGTCGAGTTGCACATTCTTAGTCCAACTATTGTCATTAAAATCTCAAAAAAATATTATGTTAAAAAATCAAGACTAGGGCTAGGGTTGTGGCTCAGTGCCTAGCATGTGGAAGGGACTGGGTTCGATCCTCAGCACCACATTAAAAAAATAAATAAAGTTAAAAAAATGTTAAAAAAAAAACTCAAAACTGGCGGAGGTGGGGTGGCTGGGGGCGCATGCCTGTGATCCCAGCAGCTCTAGAGGTTAAAGAAGATGATTGTGATTCAAAGCCAGACTCAGCAAAAGTAAAGCACTAAACAACTCAGTGAGGCCCTGTCTCTAAATAACACGAAATAGGGCTGGGGATGTGGCTCAGTGGTTGAGTTCCCCTGAGTTCAATCGCTTGTACCAAAAAAAAGAACTCAAGACTAAGCCAGGTGTGGTGATGCATACCCTGCAATCTCAGCTACTTGGGAGGCTGAAGCAGGTTGATTACAAATTCTAGGTCAACCTGAACAACGTAGTAAGACCTTCTAAAAATGATTCTTTTTTTTTTTTTAGAAAGGGCTGGCGGGCATAGCTCAATTGTAGAGTACTTGCCTAACATGTTCAAGGCCTAGGATTCAATTCCCAGCACAGAAAGAAGAGGAGAAAAAAAAAAGAAAAAAAGAAAAAAACCCCCTCAAGATTGATATTGTGATGACATTGGATACTGAATGGGTGATTGTATAAGCACCATTCTAAATTTGCAATTTGCTCCAGATCACAAAATTCACCCTCTGATTAGTAGCTGACAGACCTATTATTCAGATCACAGGTTCATTAGCAAATAGTATAACATATGAGAATACGTCCTGGTTATGAGCAGTATCCTCTAGTCTGTAAATCTCACTAAATCTTCATAAGAGTGCTCTGAGGATAAAGTGAGAAAACTTAAGTAAAAGAACTCTGGTACCCAGAGAACTATGCAAACAGTGCAGTCGTGCTTCCCAAGGTGTGCAGGCCAAGGATACATGATATGACAAATGAGGTGAATCAGGCAGCATCAAAGGAAGGAAGGTCCCTTGAAGTGGTTGCAATCCTCCTTTGAATCACATCAGTAGAAAACCCAATGTCTGCCTGAAGCTGATTATATAAAAATTCTCTCAAGATATATGCCTCTAGGGTAGTAAGCTGAAAAGGTAAGAGATGGGGGCCTAAGATTTTTTGTAAGAATGAGTTTTGAATCAAATTATTTAGAAGACTAGAACAGGACGTAATAGATAAAGCCTACAGCAAAGACAGAACAAAGAGAGTAAATAAGGCAGTCCCAAAGCCACACATGGCCTTTGTTTTGTTTTTAATTTTTATGCAGGACCATAATAGAAACAAAGGAATATTCTAAACATAACTATATAAAATCAGATGCAGGTTAGAAAATCTTATCCCAAGGGATTTTTTGAAAAGGCTATTTAGACAGGAAAAGTGAATGGGCAATTTAGTAAAGGGATGGAACTAACATTTAACTTCCAATGAGTTCCCTGACTTAGGGTCCAGAGTGTTAAAAACAAACTTCTCAACCTGAAATTGAAAAATATGTAAGGGATCCTTACATTTACTGAGTGCTTAAAACATTCTAAGTACTACTCTAAGGGCTTTTCATTGTGGTCTGGTCTGGTCTAGTCTGGTCTGGTCTGGTCTGGTCTGGTCTGGTCTGGTCTGAGACAGGATCACTACTTCCCAGGCTGGCTTGAACTGCTAGGCTCAAGTAATCCTCCTGCCTGAGCAGTGCAGCATGCCACTGAACCTGGTTTGCCTTACTTGTGTTAATTCATTTAATATTCAAACAACTCTATTAGGTATTATTATTATTGCTTGTATTTATGGATGGAGAAACCAAGGCCTAGAGACATGCCCAAGACTTGCTAAGTGGGGTTAAAACCTATAGTTTTAGCTGACTTGCTACAGTCAGCTCAGCTTTACACTGAGCTGACTGTAGCACACTACAGTCTACACTACTAACTACCCTAGATACAAAAAAAAAAGACTGCCTATGGTAGTCAAAAGAACTAAAATAAACTAGGTCAGACTTTGACTAGAGGGTACAAAAGAAGAACAAGAAATGAAGATATGACAGGTGAGTGATAATCAGGATTAAGATCCTCTAATGCTACCCAGTAGTTAACTGTTCTGTGATTTTACTCCAATGGACTCCGTGTGAGAGGGTGAAAGAATCAAAAGAAAGGCCAAGAATTCCTAGGATATGATGTTAAGAGCAAGATTTCCCCCAAAGTTTTTTGAGGGATGTTAGTTAATCATGTGGAAGCAAAATGGGTAGGAGACTTTTCCGTATGGGTTGCCCCGGATGTCCACTGTAAATCCATGGCCTCTAAGTACAAATCAACCCAAACTAGAGCTAGAATGGACAGGCTAGAGTACAGTGGTATCATTTTAGAAATTATATCACTTAGTCATCTGCTTAGTTTTCCATGTTCTTATATAGAATACAGCTAGGGCTTTAGAGTCAGGGAACTGTGCATGCTAATCATAGTTTCAATACTTAACTATGTGTTCACCACAACTTCTGGGCTTTAGTTTTTTCAACTTAAATGAAGATAGTATCTATCAGGTTGTACAAATATCACGTGCAACAAAATTTGTAAAAAGCATAGCACAGAGTAACACACACTTCTCAACAAATGTTAGTTCCATTCCTTTGTCCAAGCTGTATTACAGAGAGTCTTAAAAGACTGAAACCAGTAAAAGGAAGATGATAGTGGGGAAAAAAACACAAAAATTTTATGGTTTAAAGATAATGTAAAAAGCTCTGAATAAAAACACCTTATTAATATGTAAATTTAGCAGATCAATTGGCTAAAATTGAATGGTAACAATGTCAAAGCTCATAGACCTTGACTTTTGTTCTCAGAGGTAAATGTTAAACTTTGTAGAATCATCCTTTGTTCAATAAGAGACTAATAATTAAAAAGGTGTTACAAAGATTATACAACCTAGGAACAGAGCTAAGTTTGGAACACTTGCCACTTGAACACTAAAATCATTGAATAAAAATTCTTTTTTTCTTTCAGTATTAGTACTCACGATGCAAAAATTAAAGTCTAGGGGCTGCGGTTATAGCTCAGTGATAGAGCATTTGCCTAGCATGTGTGAGGTACTGGGTTCGATCCTCAGCACCACATAAAAATAAATAAATGTATAAAAAGTAATAACATTTTAAAAAAATAATTAAAGTCCAAAAACTTGATAAGGATAAAGTGTTTCCACCAACTTTATGAAATCTATAAATAACATAAGCTGAAAATAATTTTGTATGAGGATATGAGAAGTTTGGTTTATATTTAACTTTTTTTCTTTCAAATAACAAGTTAGAACACTTCCATAAACAAAAGGTTATGCCCCTGGTCCCATCCTTATATTCAAAAAATGAACAAACTTTAAAAATAGCAAATTTTTATTTGAAAAAATTGATAAACTGACAAGCTTGTCAAAAAGTCATTTCAGTGTAACATTTTACTTAGTAAATAAATATGTGCAATTTGTAGAGAGTAGATTCTTCTCTAAAAATGCTATGACAGACATAATACACTGTATGATTCCATTTACATGAAATTTTTTAAAAAGTAAAACTAAATGACAGCAAATCACTGTTTTCTAGGAGGAAGAGATTGACTGTAAAGAGACACAGGAGTTTGGGGTGAAGGGAATGTACCAATGTACCATAAGAACATCATGGTGGTAGGCAGACAACAGCATGTTTTCAAAACTCACTTAAAGTTATATTGGAAACTGGGGGATTTTATTACATAAAAACTATATCTCAATTTTGAAAGGGTAATACATAATCAATCAGCATGCTTTTCAATAAACCATTTTGGTCAAAATATTTCATTCAGTAGGGGCCAGGAAAGTACTCTACCGCTGAGCTATGAGGTAGAGCACTTGCCTCACACAAATAGGACCCTGGGTTTGATCTCCAGCACCGTGAAAAAAAAAAAAAAAAAAAAAAAAAAACTTTTTTACTCAGTAGAGAAATATTTATTTGTAGAAAATCTATAAATAATATAAGTACATTTTTCACAATCTTAGTGTTTATTTTTTGACATTTTTATGAGAAATATCTTTTAATATTCTTCTTATAAAACAAGCAAAGCTAAACAGTGCTTGAGAAGCAACCCTGAGTTAAATTTAAAACCTTCCAAAACCACTGCATAAACTCAATCCACTGATGCACTAGTTGGCAGTAACTGGATGCTTTCCCCAGATGTAAGACTATACCCGAAGCTACACATTCAAGTCAGACAGGGGCCAGGTAAATAGGTGAGCAGCACAGGCCCTGCAGGTTGATGTCAGGAAAGAGCACAGGCCTTAGCGTACCCAGAGCTTCTGATGATTAAAGAGAAGCAGAAATGTCGACTTCAGTGTAAAATTTCTAATTTTTTAGAATGAGGGATCCATTTTTTTAATAACATCATATAGGGCAAATCAATCACATTCAAATAAGCATATGTGGCCCATAATATATGCTTTCTTAAGTTATTCAATAACACACCTCTTGTCTTCAGTCTAACATCTTACTTCTTTAATTGCAGAGTGTGTGAAATAATATGGAATGTAATAATAAGGAAAATAAAATCCATCTTAAAATTACATGGACAGTCATTTTGGTCACTTACTAGAAGCCCAAATCTTACATGTCTAAGCATACTTGTTGGTAGTAAAAGAAATGAATGAGTTTGAATGAAGAGAGGAAACACTGAGGAAAAGCTCTATTTTAATTAAGGTCAGAGTCAGCACCCAGACTTAAGAGCAACAAAATAATCCACATGTTGAAATTTGAGAACTTCATTTCCCCAACTAGTCCAACCTGGCTGTAAATTTCGAGCAAACATTTCCAAACACTTCCCATCAGGCTTGATGTAGTCTTTTAGAACCTCTGTCCAAAAATAAAAGAGAGAGAGAGAGAGAAAACACAAAAATTACTATTGAGGAAAAAATCAATTTCCTTTTAGCCAGTAAGAGAGGAAGGGATATTTCATTTAAAAAAAATAAAAGCAAATTAATGTCAAGATTTCATCACAGGCCTTACTATTTATAGTCAAAAAATCATTTGAAATAAGCGTCCTTGAGACTGGGAACAATACCAACAGAACTTTCAGTAGTCCTGATTTACTGGTTTTCATTTAGAGATCAGAAATGAGGATTTTAACACCCACGTAGGTGACTTCTCAGTTTTCCGACACTGCTGACATATCCTTTGAGAACTTACTTTATTTTTCAATAAATGTAATCCATGCATGAGAAAGAGCTCTACAGAAACAATAAGAGACAACCAACTTTAAAAATAAAGATAAAATAAAAGTCTCTTTATAGCATATACTTCAGTGAAATGAAGAGTTGGATACAAAATGATACATTCACAACAAATAGATAACTATAGCCCCCTATAGCTATAACTTGGTAGTACTAAAAGCATTCCCTCATGTTCAAATTATAGATCATTCTTCTTTTTTTTTTTTCCTGTCCCAGGGATTGAACTCGGGGGTACTCCACTACTGAGCCACATCTCCAGCCCTATTTTGTATTTTATTTAAAGACAGGGTCTCCCTGAGTTGCTTAGCACCTCGAAGTTGCTGAGTCTGGCTTTGAACTTTCGATTCTCCTGTCTCAAGCCTCCCAAATTGCTAGGATTACAGGTGTGCGCCACCATGCCCAGCTATAGATCATTCTTTACCAAAATTTCACCATATGATTTCCACAGTTAAGTATTCCCTATTTAGTTCATAACCCACTTGAATCAAATGTATGAAAGATGATATGTCATGAGCTTTGTAATGTTTTGAACAACCAATAAAAAAAGTATTCCCTATTTAATACATATTAATATACTACATTAAAAGTTCTATACTACATTAATTACTACATTAAAAATCTTATTTTGTTGGGGAAAGGTACCTCATATATATGTTCGTTAAACAGCTGTGATCTACACTAAATGAAAGAAAAGAATACCACAGAAGGTTTTTTTATTAACACATGCTCAGTTGGAAGACAGTTATTTAAACCAATTTAATTTTAATCATGTTGTCAGTTAGCTAGTCTACCTAACCGGAATTGGGTATAAAAATAATAATTCAGAAAAGGAACATATTTAAACAAGTAAAAAACATATTTCATAACTGCTTTGTAAAGTTGTGCTTAGAAGAAACCTATCAAATTCCCTCTAGGAAAGATAAGGCTCAGGAATAACTGATACAGGTAAGATTTAAAAGACAATATATCAACACTTTAAGTTTCATAAAGTTCTTCAATTGCTCTCAGAGCAAAATACTTGCTTATTTGCTAAGAGTACTGGTTCTGTTTATCAAAAATCAAGAAGGAATTAAAAATTTTCATTGTCTATAATTCAATTGAACTCAAATTTGGGCTGTGATAGCTTCTAGAAGATGCTGACACAAAGACTTCTAGTACTTTCACATTCATATAATTAAATGCTTTGAAACTTGAAAGAGAATGATTTCCCAAGTCTTAAAGGACAATAATCCTAAATCATTTTTTCATTTCCTCACCCATAAATTTAATGTCTTACCAGCTTCAATTTATATTTAATGTGGCCTAAGGTACAATGAAACAAGATTCTGTTTTTGCTTACATTGTTCAGTTTTTTGGTACAAAGATGTTAGTATCCCTATTTTGGAACTTTAAACTGAAGTCAGTCAGTCAAAAGTGTTCATTATTCTGAGCACCTATTATAATGAGTGCAAAGGAAGAAGAATACCCATGTTTTATAAGTTAATAATCTAACAGAAAAAGATGGCTACGTACTTCGAGTGGAAAAATACAACGTAAACCATTTATTACCATCCTTTCTCAATATAATACATTTTTACATGTATTGTTCTTTCTAGTTGGGGAAAAGAATAAAAAAATAGAAAATCAGAGGTTTTACTGTTAATCACATTTGTTTTACTTCAAAACAAGGCAAAAGAAAGGCTAATTAATGGAAATATATTATTCCTACTAACTTTAAATATCAATTTAAAAATAAATGCAAATAAATTTGCACTTAAAATAAATGTAAAAATCAATTTCGGGGGCTGGGGTTGTGGCTCAGAGGTGAAGCACTGCCCTCGTACATGGTACATGTGAGGCACTGTGTTTAATCCTCACTCAGCACCACATATAAATAAAATAAAGGTATTGTGTCCATCTACAACTAAAAAAAAAATGTTTAAAAAATTCAATTTCACCAGGAGTATGACATACATAGACAATTACATAACATTTATAAATGTTAAAACATACTTCCAACCAATGGAAAGGAAGCAAACAATGCATATCCAAGCATCACTCTTTTGCTCTAGGATGAGGTAGAAGAGGAGAAATGGCCCAAACATCATTGCGTACAATCTCATCAGCTATGTTTCACTCTTCAGATAGAAACTATTAGCACATGACACAGAAAAAGAAGTGGAAATTTCTCTGATATAAAATATGAAAATCAAAATTGTAACTCAAATACATTTATTTCATAATTTTCCTACCTTAAATCCTTCAATTTAAGAATATACATTTTTAATATAGGTTATAAGCCACATCTATTATTGGTTGATCTTTCAACAAGAGATTTCATAAATATATTATTTGAAATGGAATATGCTGCCAATGTGGGACTTCCTCTTTTTTGGTATATTTTACAACAGAAATAACAAATTAAAAAATTTTTCACAAAAACTTGGTGTTTCTAAGAAGCAAAAGAGGAAACATTTCATTTTATGAATGTGCACAGAAAGGTTTAAGAATGCTTAGGTAAAAGTTCTAAGCATTATATATAAAACATGTATTATGCAAATCCCCAGAATTATTACTTCAGAATTAAATAGTAACAATATGCCCAGAAATCTGAAAGTTGCTTTCTGATGGCTTAATTTACAAATTTCTGTAACTAAAATGTATATAATAGCATGAACTAAAAAATAAAGTATTACAAATATTCCTTGTCTGTCACTACTTAACCAATATACGAGTGAGTCACTTAGATTTTTTTCCCAAAAAATATTTTTGTTTTTAAATGTTTTCAATCCAAAAAATATGTTTCTGCTGCTCTCTACTGGGAGTATGGAAGAATTGCATTTCATAGATAAAAGGCTACAATAAAATGCTTCAGTACTAATTTTTCACTATTTTTAAATCTTTTCTCTTAAGAATAATATTTAAATATAACTTTATTCTATTTTTTTAAAACTTATAAAAGTTTAACTATAATTTGATAATGAAAGATCTGGGTTCTTAGTTTGGGGATATTTTTTAAAGTAAGATATAAGCCCTAAAATAAACACCAAATAAAGTTTGGTATTTACCAAATGATAAAGAAATTCAAATAAGAATGATACATATTAGATTTCCTCCATCTTGTATAACTAATTTCAGAGGTATTTTTTTTTCTCAAAGAACAGTACAATCCCATTTTTCACTTGAATCATAAATTTAATGCAGAATTCATACAGTCCAAAGTTTGAATGTGATGATTCACTGAGAAATCCTCCAAGTCAAAGAACAGATCATGACATAAACATCTGAATATTTTTCCAGTTAAGGAATGCAATAAAGATTCTTTATGGAAGTAATTTAAGTTAACAGAAATCCTGAGTACTTTCAAAATAATTCTCCTGAGAATTTGTATTCACTTTCTTACGTTTCCTAACTTAGGAACTACTCCATAATTCTGCAAAAAATAAGTTGCCTATAGTTTTCCTGAGTGGCAGTTTGTATACAGTTTTAGGTATTTTTGTTTTGGCTTGGTTTGGTTTTGGTTTTGGTTTTAAGTAGAAATCATCAAATAAATGTGTTCCCAAGTTTGATTATCAAATTCAGGATCTCTCAAGGATTTACATGTCTAAATTTTTAAATTCTCACCCAACAAATTTAGCATTTACTGAACTATGTGCTACAGAATTTTAAATATATTATAACCAATCCTTACAGCTCTGAAATAATAAATATCATTTCTTTGTTTCTCTGTATCTGTCTGTCTCTCCTTGCTTCTCCGTCTGTCTCCCCCACTCCTTTTTTTGGAAAGGATTGAACCCAGGGGCACTTAACCACTGAGCCACATCCCCAGTCCTTTTTATATTTTATTTTGAGATAGGGTCTCAATAACTTGCTTAGGGATTCACTAAACTGATGAGGCTGGCTTTGAACTCACTATCCTCCTGCCTCAGCCTCCCAAACCACTGGGATTACAGGTGTGCCCCACAGCACCTGGCTCATCACTCTCTCTTTAAATGAGGACCATAAGGTAGAGGATTCAAGTAACTTTCCCAAGTATCACAGCCAGGATTAAGCCATGTCCAAGCAACATGTCCTCTTTAAAAACATAAAACTGAGAGTCTCTACCAAATACCAAGGGAATTCTAACCATTATTCTTTTTTTTTAATATTTTCTTAGTTATATATGGGCACAATATCTTTATTTTGTTTATTTATTTTTATGTGGTGCTGAGGATCAAACCCAGTGCCTCACATATGAGAGGCAAGCACTCTGTCACTGAGCCACAATACCAGCCCCTAACCATCATTCTTACTACCACTATTCCAAGTTCCTGGTTTTAGAACAAGCAAGAGATTTGAGTATTCTGAAACCAGCATCCTATACTAAAACCTGGTGGTAAAATAAAAGTCCCCAGATGAACTACATACTCAGATGCCTTCTCAAGCATTCATTCTGTCAAGGCCAATGATGGGGGAGCAACCAATAGTAAGGGGAATATGAAAAATGGTAAAACTGGGTGTTTTGGGGGTCATGGCTCAGAGGTGAGCGCTCGCCTACCACGTGTGAGGCACTGGGTTCGGTCCTCAGCACCACATAAAAATAAAATAAAGATAAAAAAAATGGTACAACAGGAAAAGCCAAGGTAGTAAGTAAGTCTAATCTATTCTCTACTGCATAAATTCTGCTATAAATTTTTAAAATATTACAACAATATTTACCTGATTTAATTTCTAAACCAAATCATTCAACTACTCAGTTCAATCTCTTTTTCAGTTTTTTTTTTCAAAAATCATCACAATTCAATTTTATAAAAACATACCAGCAAGAGGTGGCTTATGAGAATGAAGAATACAGGGCACGCTGACAATTAATTTGTGATCTGGAATGGGGAGAACTTTTGTATCTGTATTCCTAATTAAAATAGAACAAGATAGTTAACTATATTTTAAGGAACATTTTTAAAATTCTATATCACAGTTGCATTGATTCTTTTTTCCCCTTTAAAATAGTATCTGATTTTAGAAAAAATTTTAGAATAGAATCAATGAAGGAAATCAACAATTTAAGAATTGAGATATTTCCTAAAATTTCATTTTCTATTTTTTATAATCAATTACACAATAGATAAAACAAAAGGTAATATAAAATTTCATGTACTATACAATTCATACTTTTCTGCTCTAGGTGATTTCTAGATTTTCAAAAATGTAAAAATAAAAAAAAATCAATGATCATTGTGTTAATAATTCTTACAACCCTAAAAATACATATATACAATTTTTTTTTTTTTGGTAGTGCTGGGGATTGAACCCATGGCCTTGTATATGCAAGGCAAGCACTCTACCAATTGAGCTATATCCCCAACCCCACATGTATACAATTTTGATACATCACCTTTCTTACCTTAATGGTAAAGTAGTTTGTTCTCCAATTCTTCCCAGTATAAGACCTTCATAAGGCTTTTTGTGTGGAGAATCTAAAGGGAACACAAACTCTCCTGAACTGGTGATCTGGTAGAAAGGAGTCAACAAAAAAGGAGTTATTTTTTACCATCACTACAGGCTGAGATATGCTACATTCTTTCTTTCATATTAGGTCTTTAAAGTCTGATGCATATTTTACATTTCACAGAACTAGCCACATTTCAAGTGCTAAAGAGCCACGTGTGGTAATGGCTACCATACTGAAGACTACAAGGGATTTTAAAAAATTCATTTATATAACATTGTTTTGGTTTTGTTCTGAGGATTAAATGCAGCAGGACACTCTACTGCTGAACTACATTCCCAGTCCTTTTTATTTTATTTTGAGAAAGGATCTTGCTAAGTGGCCCAGGCTGACCCTGAACTTCCAATCTTCCTGTCTCAGATTCCTGAATAGCTGGAATTACAGGTATATACCACTATACCAGCACAGTGTCATTAAATACTGTGAAAACTAAAATTGATAAGGAAAAAAGCTGGGTAGTTGATGAGACAAACAATACCCAGTACAGGACTGGCCTCTAGCATTACAAGTTCAGAAATTCAATTATCATTTCATCCTGGGATGACCAGACTCTCAAAATTCATTTCAACCAATCAAGCTAAAAATATAATTTATAATAACAAATCCATCTCTTAATTTATAATGAAGATATGTATTTTCACTGTCAGAGTATTTATATATATTACCTATGAAATTCTTTATACTGAGCAACCACTTTACCTGAACAACCACAGCAGTAATCAGAAAGTCCTTTTATCTTTTCTCTAGGACCAATCAAATACTTCACCTCTCATGCATTGTATTGTATAAATACTGGAAAATTCTTATTCTTCAGATAGCCTTTATACTTTATGATACAACAAATGTGTAATTATTTAATAAATGTTTCCTACAATATATTGTTTTGTTTTCAACTCTAGTCATACTATTTCTTAGTATTCAGTTGAATGTTATTAGCAATGAATAGTCTTGGGTTTTATATATTAACATTTTATTGAGTTCAAGTTCAGAAAATGACCTCTTTCTGACTTTGACCCCAGTGTCTGACCATAACAAAACTATTAGTGGGGGGTCCAAGATGGCAGGCCAGAGGGAGGCAGCATTCTATGTTGCTCCATGACCTGGGACTCAAGTAGTGAGAATATTGCTTCTCTGCAAGCAATATCCCTGCCCCCATGCAGGAATCACCATGCCTGTGCAGGGCTCCAGGCCTCAGTGACAGAGTAAGACTCCCAACTACTTGCCCATGCCATACCTGAGCAAGACCATCAGTGGCGCAGCACCCGCAAAGAACTTTTGGCCACCCACCAGATCAGAAATCACGGACACTGATCCCATGTAGGACACCTGGCAGGTGTGGACCCCCATCTACCAACATGGGGCTCCCCCTGTCACCGCCATCTTGGGACTCTGCAGTACCAGACATAGTCCCCTACAGCGCAGTAGCCTGCCTGCACCTGGAATGTCACACAGTCTCTGAAATCAGCTGACAGCCATACACTGCACACCACAGAGCTTGTCTCTAAACTCATCATCCAACGCCATCGCCCAGCTTGTTGAAAGCAGGTGCCTCCATCGTGGGTCACCTTCATCACCATCTTCAGTGGAGGCAACTCCCAGTTTGGAACTCCAGCTGGCCAGGTACCCAGTTTCTAACTCTCTCCTCTCCCAGCAGCCACTACCCCACCCAGCAGTGACACCCTGGTTACCTTCACCATCCTGAGGATGAAGATACCAGCTAACAACAGACAACCTCACCTATTGGATGAGAAGGGAGGCAGGAAAGATACTGATCTCCAACCAAAACAATCTCTTTTTCTTCCTTCAAGATTTTTTTTTTCTTTCTTCTCCCTCTCTATTCTCCTACCCTCACATATCCAACATATGTTAAAACAAGTACTTTACATGAATTAGGATTTTGAGGACTGGGACATCTGAAGAGTATATTACAGTCGTATTGTATTTTTTTTCTTTTTTCTTTTTTCCCACCAATTTCTACTATTTTAACATTTTTTATTTTTCTTAATATATATGTATGTTTGTTTTATATACTCAACTGTCTTCCCACTTATCTACCCAAAATTACCTTCTCCCCCTTCTCCTACTACTAATCTTCTTCTTTAGATTTCTCTTTCACACTTCCTAAGATATAATAACTGTATATCCTCACCTCCTACCTCCCCAGCACATCATCCTATTCCTCTTCTTTGTCCACCATCAGAATATGTAAACCCGCTTACAAATCTACTGAGTATATTGTAGATAATATTTGAATTCACTATTTTTGTACATTGTGACCAAACTGTAAACATCTTAATAGCAAACATTTGTTTTTAGGGTGTATATTTTTTATATTGGGACCTGTTAACATTATCCTTCACCTCAAAGGAGAAGTATTGGATCCCTACAGGGGCACAATAAGCCTCTAGACTAAAAACATTAACGCCTCGCATCCACAGTGCTAGAAGGGAAGACACACAAGCAATATGAAAAGACAAGGGAAGAAAGTGTCCCAAACAAACCAAGATACCACATTATCAGAATCCATGGCAAGCAGAGCAGAAGAAATGACAGAGAAGAAGTTCAGGATGTACATTACTAAAGTGTCCTGCAAATTAAAGGATGATATAAGAGAGCAAATACAGGCAGCAAAAGATCATTTTGACAAAGAGCTACATAAACAAATACAGAAATGCATTTGATTTACGGATATTGATTTTATATACTGCTACTTCACTGAATTTATTTAATTAATTCTAGAAGTTTTCTGGTGAAGTTTTTTGGATCCTCTAAGTATAGAATCATGTCATCAGAAAATAATGATAGTTTGAGTTCTTCTTTTCCTATTCATATCACTTTGATTTCTTCTGTCTAATTGCTCTGGCTAGAGTTTCAAATGCATTTCTATTCATCAGTGATGAATCCTCTGAAAGAGAAATTAGGAAAACTACCACATTCAAAATAATAAAATACTTAGGAATCAATATAACAAAAGAGGTGAAAGACCTCTAGAATGAAAACTATAGAACACTAGAGAAAGAAAGAGCATGCTCTTAGATAGACAAAATTAATATTGTCAGAATGGCCATACTACTCAAAGACTACACAGATTCAATGCAATTTCAATTAAAACCCCAATGTCATTCCTTATAGAAATAGAAAAAGCAATCAGGAAATTCATTGGGAAAAATAAGAGACCTACAGTAGCCAAAGCAATTCTTACTAAGAAGAGTAAAGCAGGTGGGATCATAATATCAGACCTTAAACTAAACTACAAAGCTAGAGTAACAAAAATGGCATAGTATTGGCACCAAATAGACACACAGACCAATAGAACAGAATAGAAGACACAGAGACAAACCCGTATAAATATAGTTATCTCATACTAGACAAAGGAGCTGAAAACATACATTGGCAAAAAGACAGCCTCTTCAACAAATGGTGCTGGGAGAACTGGAAATCCATAGCAGTAAAATGAAAATAAACTCCTCTCTCTCACCATGCACAAAACTCAAAGTGAATCAAGGACCTAGGAATTAGACCAGACCCTATGCCTAGTAGAGGAAAAAGTAGACCCAAATATTCATCATGTCAGAGTAGGCCCCATCTTCCATAACAAGACTCCTAAAGCAAAAGAAATAAAATCAAGAATTAATAAATGGGATGGATTCAAACTAAAAATCATCTTCTCAACAAAAGAAACAATCAATGAGGTGACAAGACAGCCTACAATTTGGGAGTACATTTTTGCCACACACACACACATCAGATAGAGCTCTAATTTCCAGGATATATAAAGATCTAAAAAATCTAAACACACACACACACACACACACACACACACACAAAAATAAATAAATAAATAAATAAAAATAACCCGATCAATAAATGGTTCAAGGAACTGAACAGACACTTCTCAGAAGAACAATTGATCAACAAATGTATTAGAAAACGTTCAACATCTCTAGTAATTAGAGAAATTCAAATCAAAACTACTCTAAGATTGCATCTCACACCAGTCAGAAAGGCAGTTATATAGAATACAAATAATCAAATGTATGAAAGATGATATATCATGAGCTCTGTAATATTTTGAACAATCAATAAAAAAATAGAATACAAATAATAATAATTGTTGGCGAAGCTGTGGAGGAAGAGTTACACTTATACATTGCTGGTGGGAGTGCAAATTGGTTCAACTAACATGGAAAGCAGTATGGAGAATCCTTGGAATACTGGGAATGGAACAATCATTTGACCCAGCTATCCCACTCCTCAGTCTATACCCAAAGGACTTAAAATTAGCATATTATAATAATGCAGCCACATCAATATTTATAGCAGCTCAATTTGCAATAGCCAAATTGTGGAAACAAAAATTGCCCTTCAATATATGGGTAAAAAAACTATATTATATATACACAATGGAATATTACTCAGCATTAAAAGAGAATGCAATATGGCATTTGCAGGTAAATGGATGGAGTTGGAGAATATCATGCTAAGCGAAGCAAGCCAATTCCAAAAAACCAAAGGCCAAATGTTCTCTTTGATAAGTGGGTGATGGTTCATACTGGGGGAGGGAATGGAGAGAATGGAGGAACTCTGATGGGTAAATGGTGGGGGGATAATGGGGGCAGGAAAGATGGTAGAATGTGATGAACATCATTACCCTAGGTACATGTATGTCTGCACATATAGTGCAATGCTACAGAGAAATGAAAAGTTATGCTGCAATTGTGTACAATGAATCAAAATACATTCTGCTGTCATCAATATACCTAATTAAAATTAATTAATCAATTAAAAAATTTAAAAAAAAACAAATACAGCAAGCAAAGATTACTTCAATAGGGAGATAGAAGTCCTAAAAAAAAAAAAAAAAAAAACAGAAATCCTTGAAATGAAAGAAACAATAAACCAAATTTAAAGTTCAAATGAAAGCATCACCAACAGATTAGACCACTTGGAAGACAAGACCTCAGACAATGAAGACAAAATATATCATCTTGGAAAGAATGTA